ATTTTGAGTATTTCATGTAAGTGGATCATACAGTATTTGTCCTTTTGTGTCTAACTTATTTTACTCACCATAATGTTTTCAAGCTTCATCCATGTCATAGCAAGTATCAGGACTTCATTTCTCTTTATGGCGTTGTATGTATATTCCATGAAGTTATTTGTTTTCAGTAATTTACATCAACATTATGTGGTATCTTTTTTTAGGAGTCCTGGTGGCATAGTGATTAATAGCTACAGCTGCTAACCAAAAGATCAGCAGTTTGAATTCACCATCAGTTCCTTGGAAACCCTATGGGGTAGTTCTACTCTATCCTATAGGGTCTCTGTGAGTTGCAATTGACTTGGTGGCAACGGGTTTGGTGTGGTTTGGGTGATGCAGTAGTTAAAGCACTCGGCTGCTAACTGAAAAGTCGGCAGTTCCAATCCACCAGCCACTCCACGGGAGAAAGAGGTGGAAGTCTCCCTCCATAAAGATTTACAGCCTTGGAAACTCTATGGGGACAGTTCAACTCTGTCCTATAGGGTCACTATGAGTCGGAATCGACTCAGTGACAACAGGTTTGGTTCTTTTGGTTTGGTATCTTTTTTATAAAGGAAGTTTTAATAAAATATTTAATTGCCTTTAGAAATAAATATGCTGAAATTCTTATACTTTAATAAAACTAAAGGCTAAAATGTAGCATATAGGAAACAACACTGCACTGAGTAAGGAGACCTGAGGCTGGCTCTGACTTTCTAGTCTGGTTTCCACATCTGTAAGATAAGGAGGTTGGATTAGAAGAGGGTCTCTAAAATTCTCTGCATTTATGAACTAATTATTCTACTTAATAGTAGTTCCCAATCTTTTAAAGCCATGCTTTCTCATTTTATCTGCTGCTTATTGCTGGCAAGGTTTTTGTTGAGCTGTTCTTTCTGTAGTTTACGTAAAGAAAGCAAGAACAGGCTGACTTTGCTTGATTCAAATTATGTATAACAATGCCGATTCCCCACAGGATTCATGCCTCCCTGGTGGAGCCCGCAACGAGAGTCCTGGCTACAAATCTTGGCTTTGCCTCTGTATGATCTGGGTCAAGCTGTCTAACCTTTCTGTGCCCCCATTTACTTATCTGTGAAGTAAAATGGAGATAGTAGTAGTACCGACCTCATAGGACTGTTTTGAAGATTGAATGGATTAACGTATTAGAACATATTAAAGCAGAGTAAATTCTCAATAAATAGTATTATCGTTTTTAAGGTCCCTGGGTGGCATAAACGGTTTGCACTTGACTAGTAAACGAACAGGTGGTGGTTCAGACCCACCTGGTGGCTCCGTGGAAGAAAGGCCCGGCAATCTGCTTCCATAAAAAAATTATAGCCAAGAAAACCCTATGGTGCAGTTCTACTGTGTAACACATGGGGTTACCATGAGCTGGACTAAACAGCCATGAGGATTATACTTTTTACCAGCTCGATTAACTATAATTGTTAATATA